GAATCAGCTGACTATGCCGGGGCGCCGGCAACCACAGCCACTCGGTCTTGGAAGGGTTGAGTCTGAGTCTGTTCCTCCCCATCCAGACCCGTACGGCCTCCAGGCAACGGGTCATCACGTCAAGGGCATCGTTGGGGTGACCTGGGGTGGAGATGTACAGCTGAGTATCATCAGCGTACTGATGGAACTCCACCCCAAAACCCCGAATGATCTCTCCCAGCGGCTTCACATAAATATTTGTTTGTTGTTGTTAGGTTAGCAACACGGTTGTTAAGTGAATCTGGCTTCCCCCTTGACTTTGCTTGTCAGAAGTTCACAAAAGGGGATCCGCAACCGTCATAAACACGAACCAGTTGCCCAGCATCGGAATTTTGATCACGTGACCGTGGGGAAATACAGTCATAAGTCACGTTTTTTCCAATGCCCTTTTAATTTTGAACGGCCACTAAATGAACTGTCGTAAATCGAGGACTACCTGTACTTTTAAGCTGGCCAACCTCCAATTCCCAGAACTGGGGATGCTGCAATGGTTGTAAGTGTGAAAAATGGTCGTAAGTCACACTTTCCAGTGCCGTTGTAACTCTGAACGGTCACTAAATGAACTGTTGTAAGCCAAGGACTTACCTGTATTTTTAAACTGTGGACGTCCAATTCCCAGAATTGGAGATGCTGCAGTGGTCATAAGTGTGAAAAACGGTCGTAAGTCACACTTTCCAGTGCCATTGTAACTCTGAACGGTCACTAAATAATCTGTGGTAAGCCAAGGACTTCCCTGTACTTTTAAACTGTGTGGATGTCCAATTCCCAGAACTGGGGATGCTGCAACAGTCGTAAGTGTGAAAAACGGTCGTAAGTCACACTTTCCAGTGCCGTCGTAACTCTGAACGGTCACTAAATGAACCATGGTAAGTCGACTAATTGGAAGAAGGTGGGGAATGAAAGAAAGTGTCTCATTTTTCTTTCTTTTCTGTTTTTCTCTCCCGGATCTTCCCCCTCCCACAGCAGCAACTCCAGGCCCACCAGCTGTCTCAGCTGCAGGCGCTGGCCTTGCCCCTCACCCCGCTCTCCGTGGGCCTGCAGGCCCCTTCCCTGCCCGCCGTGAGCGCCAGCACCGGCCTGCTCTCCCTCTCGGCCCTGGGCTCCCAGGCCCACCTCTGCAAGGAAGACAAGAACGGACACGACGGAGACACCCACCAAGACGACGACGGGGACAAATCCGACTAGGTGGATCTTGTCCGGCTGGGGGTTGGGGGGGGGCGAAGGGCAGCGTGGGGCGATCCGAGAGGGGGGGGGCAGAAGATGCCGCATTTAATCCAATTCCAAGGGGTAGCGGGCAAGCCACAGTTCTTCAGCGGGGTGGGGGGGCGAGAAAAAATAGCAGCAATAACATTTGAGCCCCGTTGTTTTCCTGCCCCTCCTCCGTTCCAGCCCCACAGCAGGCATGGACGGTTCCCCAAGCAATTTTGGGGGCCTTTGCATGCATGTTAGGGGCCAGGTGAGGAAGGGGCGTGATTCCCCCCCCCTTTTTTTTCTATCTCCCCTCCACCTTTTTAATTAAACCCAAAATATTAAACTTGCATCAGAATATCCGCAGTGCGTTCTTAACTGGGTTACTCCCTTCCCACATCCACCCGGGGCTCTTGCAAGGACCCCAGGCGATTGCTTGGCCCCTTGGACAAGAAACCATAACAAACTGAGTTATCCAAGTTATCCTAGATTTGTGGGGAAACCAGAGATCCTGGGAATTCCCCTTCCCCCCCCCCCCCGCTGCCCCCATCCCACATTCTAGCTAGCAGGTTTTCAGCTGCAGGTGCGGGAGGACAAGTCACTGGGACCCTCCCAGCCTGTATATCTGAATCTTGGCCTTCTCAAGATGGGTGGACTTCAACTCCCAGAATGCCCCGGCCTCACTTTTAAGAAACCCTGACCTAGATCGATCATGTAGTGCAGGTGGTTAAGATGGCATTGTACAGGTTGTCCTCGACTTAGTGTCCCAATTTCCTTTGCTAATCGAGGTGGAGGTGAAATGACTCTTGCCCGATTTGATAAGCTTCTTTTTTTTTCCCCCGCAGCTGCTAAGCGAATCCCTGCAGGAAGGGGAATGCTGGGAGTTGAAGTCCACGCATCTTAAAATGGCCACTTCAGAAACTGAGAGGCCTAGCAAAAAAAAAAAAAAAAGGCATAATCCCAACATTCCTTGTCTGATTTAAGTTCCCTGGCACAGTGGCACCTGGTTCCGAAGAGCTGGTGCCCACAGTTTTGTGCCCATGGAGGGCCACCGTCTCCCAGTGTATGGGGGGGGAGGACAGACCCCATTGGGAGATGGCAGTCTGACAGGATGAGAGAGAAAATGGCCGGCAAACTTTCGGAAACCCGCCCACCTCTTCAACATGCCCCCAAATGGAGAGATGTGGCTTGATGCTGGCATGTTGCGCCCCGCCCCCCTCCCTCCCTCCCTTTCCGTTCCCCAATCTCCACCATTTGGACACAGGTGGTCCTCGACTTACAACAGTTCATTTAGTGACCGTTCCAAGTTGCAACGACGCTGAAAAAAGTGACTTATGACTGTTTTTTCATCCTTAACGACCGTTGCAGCGTCCCCGGGGTCACGTGATCAAAATTCAGACGCTTGGCAACTGACACATTTACCACGGTCGCAGCGTCCCGGGGTCACGTGGTTTGACAAGCAAACTCAATGGGGGAAGCCAGATTCACTTAACCATGTGACTAATTTATCAGCTGCAGTGATTCACTTAACAACCCTGGCTAGGAAAGTCGTAAACCCTGGCTAGGAAAGTCGTAAAATGGGGCAAAACCCCTGCGACAAATGTCTCACTTAATGACAGAAAGGTTGGACTCAATTGTTGGCCGTAAGTCAAGGACTATCTGTATTCTAGGGGTTTTTGAGTCAGTCTCCAGCTAATCCTCCCAACAGCACAATTTCCCCCTTGTGGATTAGACTCCCCCCCCCTAAAAAAAAAAATCCTAGATCCAGCAGTCTCCCCCTTACTGGCAAGTGCTCAGCAGCTGCGTTCAGCCAGGAAAGGCATTACAGCTAGTCCTCGATTTATAACCGTTCATTTAGTGACCATTCAAAATGGCAACGGCATTGAAACACGTGACTTACAATCAGCCCTTGCACTTATACGACCATACGCAGCATCCCCGTGGTCACGTGATCAGAATTCAGGTGCTTGGCAACCGGCATGTATTTATGACGTTTGCATCATCCTGGGTAAATGTTTTAACATAATAACAGAGTTGGAAGGGACCTTGGAGGTCTTCTAGTCCAACCCCCTGCTCAAGCAGGAAACCCTATACCAGGGGTCTTCAAACTTGGCCACTTTAAGACTTGTGGACTTCAACTCCCAGAATTCGTCAGCCAGCCCTTGGCTGGCTGAGGAATTCTGGGAGTTGAAGTCCACAAGTCTTAAAATGGCCAAGTTTGAAGACCCCTGCCCTCTACCATCATCCCTTTTAACTCCGGCTTCTGCTCCTCAGACAATTCAGGAAGTGATTGTCCTTAACCACCTTTTGCCACTTTCCCAGCTGGCCTCTGAGAAGGAAAGCCAGATTCACTTAACAACTGCATGATTCGCTTAACAACCGCCGTGATTCGCTTAACTGCCACGGCAAACGGATAATAAAACCGGGTGTGATTGAATAGCCGCCTTGCTTAGCTGTGGAAATTCCGCCGTCGTTTGTGGTCGTAAGTCGAGGACGACTGTACTCAAAGCAACGGGATCCACTTCTTAAAGGCTATAAAAGGGTGATCCGTTTGATTTGGGGCAATTAGGTGAACGGCCAGACGTGAATGGATGCTTCCCACTGGTAAAGGCAAGCCAGGTTGGGATTTTTAATGGTTCTAGTTGGGGCTGACCCCCGTCAGACTTTACCAGTGCAAGGCATTGGGCAATTTGCAAGCTGCCAGATCCCACTGGATTCTTCATCAAGTCGTTTGTTTTTCCTTCCTCGGCAGCACTTCGCTCACGTCTGCCAATGGGGGGGGGGGGCTTCTTCTCTGCAGAACCCTTTGCTTTGAATTTGATCCATATCGCCACTGACACACACACCCCCCGACCCCACCCCACCCAAACACTTGCAAGCAGCATCTTCTGGGCTTCGTGAAGCCCCCTCCCCCCTGCGACCCCCGCCCGCTGGACTCCTCTCTATCGCTGGCCCTCCTCTGCTCCCACCAGCACTGTTTTTAGCTAAGCAAGCACCTTTGTCATTATGCATGTCTCTTGTTTTTAAGGTAGCACAGAAGCAAAAATTTTATATATATACATATATATATATAAATATATATAAATATATAAATATATTAGTTGGGTAATCTCTGCCTCTGGGTGAACCTCTCAATGGTGTGTTGTTTTTAAGCCTTGCCTTGCTGTTTCCTTTCCCT